AAGAATGGGGTGAAGGGTTAAAGAAGGACAAATTAGTAGTTGATAGATGGTCACAGGGATGGAGAGCATGGCATAGGGAATGCAGTTAGCATTAATATGATGACTAGGTGGAGGTCCAGGGGAGGGAGGGAATGAGTAGGGGATTGTTTTATGAACTATATAGATGTCTAGCCAATATACTATATACTTGAAACTAATTTAAATAAATTAATTAGTTTTTTTAAACTAATGGAGAATCCCAATTTTTCGGCGCAGTTAACAAATCCTGAGAGGCTGTGTATGGTGGTTAAAGTCAGAAATTCTGGGGTCAGACTGACTTTCATCCCAATCCTCTCACTTACCCTGGTGACTCTGAGCAAGTTACTTAACCTCTCCATGTCTCAATTCTTCTTTAAAATGAGAATAATAGTATCTACTTCACAGGTGATATAAATCATGTAGAATAGTCCCTATCACTTTGTAAGCTTTCAATAGATGCTAGCCATTTCATTCTTTTGACATCTGTGATATATTCCAGTGTGTGAATGTGCCATAACTAATCTAACCATTTCTTTTCTGATGGGCATTAGGTATTTCCAGTTGATGAACAAAACAAGCAATGTCCCTGCCTTGAAAAGTATTGTGGTCTGGTGGAAAGAGACAAAAGAATAAATGAGCAAGATAATTCAAGCTATTATACATTAAATTAAGTTAAATTAATAGCAGCAATATGGAAGCACATAGGTGGGCAAAAGGCACACACAAAAGGTGGTCAGGTAAGGGCTGCTGGAGAAAATGACATTTGAGCAGAGCCATGTTGGATGACAAAGATCCAGCTATGCATAGTGGGAGGTCAAGGACTTTAGGCAAGGGAACAGCAAGTGCAAAATCCCTGAGGTGGGAAAGAATTTGGCACGTTCAAGGCAGAGAAGGCTACTGTAGCTGAATCTTGCGTGTGTGGGAAGGAGTATGATAGATGTGAGGAGCCAGACCACATAGGACCTTTCAGAGCCATGGCAAAAAAATAAAGGCAACCAGAAACTGTGGGAGATTTTTAATCGGGCCAGTCACATACCTAGTTTATGTTTCTAGGAGATCACTTATGTTCTGTAGAGAATGGCTTACAAGAAGGCAAAAGTTGAAGCAGAGTTTCCATTAACCAGTAAGGCTAATACAGTAGTTGAGATGAGTGAAGATAATGGCCTGGACTACAGCAGTGGCAGTGAAGCTGGGGAAAAGCTGTATGGAAAAAAATTTCACCTGAACGCAAGGGCTGAGGACATGGCCCCTTATCTTCCTTGATCCCAGTGAGGACCTGTACTTGCCTTCTTGATTTGGTAATTTTCTATATCCACATATCTTTTCCCATTCTCTCCCTGAAGAAAGGCAACCATTATATAACTTTCTCCGTGTTTTCCAATTTAATAGCTGTAGTGAAATCTCATTGTCATTTTAATTTCCCTGATTATCAATGATTTGGAGCATTTCTTCAAAAACCTGTTAGCTTTTTGGGTTTCTCTTCCTATAAATTGCAGATTTAAATCTTTGTCTATTCGTATGTTGGCATGACCATCTTTTCCTGTGGCGTATGTAAGAATTCTTTGTATATATCAGATATTACTCCTTTGGTGATCTGCAAATGCATTGTGAATATCTTCTGTCATTTTGTCAACTATCAAATTATTAACTTTATCTGTGTGTTCTTAGTTGACAAAAATCCTTAATTCTTATGTAATCAAATTTAGAATTTTTTTTCCTTATGGTTCATGATTTCAAAATGTTGTCTAAGAAATCCTTCTTGCCCCCAGATGACAAATAGATTCTCCTACATTGTCTTCTACCAATTTATAGCTTTCCATTTCACATGTTGATCCATTTATAACCCATCTTTTTAAATGGAGTTAAGTGCGGATACCATTTTATTTTACTCTGTATAGAGAATAACTCGTGCCGTTATCTATTAAACAGTTTTTTCTTTTCCTATTGATCTATGATACCAATTTTATCATATATTAAAGTCCCTTAAATATCAGGTTCTGTCTCGACCCTTCTATGTTGTTCCATTGGTCCTGTTCTTGCACCAACAACCTACTGTTGGTGTTATTGAAGCTTTGAAGTTGATCTTAGCATCTGGTAGGGCAAGACTCTCCTCTTTATTATTATTCTTTAAGGGTGATTTTGTTAACCATGAATATTTATTAACAGGAGGAAATTTAGGATATATTTTGGAGGCGGAACTGTGCTTATGGTTTCTCTTACTTTATTGCAGTTTTACGCTATATGTTCAAACCTAGCAATATTTTTCCCTATGGGCTTCTAGGTTTTATACTTTGCTTAGGAAGATCCTCCTCATCCCAATGTGATCTAAATATTCGGTAATATCTTATTTTAAATCTTTTATACTGTTATTTTAATAGATATTTAATATGTGGAATTTATTTTTTATAGTTATGAAATTGGGATCTAACTTTATTTTATTCTAATGGTAAGCTAGTTTTTTCGGTAATAAATAGTCCATCCTTTCCCCCACTGATCTGAAATATTTTCTTTAACACAGACTAAAATTCTATATATACATAAAACTATAGCCTAGGCTCTCCTTGGATTATGGAAGGTTTTGAAATCTAGAATGTGTTGGCAAGAATGGAAAAGCATTAGATGCCTTTGAGCAGGAGAATGACAGGTTGAAGGGGATGGTTACAAAATTTACTGGTCAGCTAGATGTGTGTGGGATGAATCTGGGAGAGGCAGAGAAGGCTGAGGGAGAGATGCTGCTGACAGAGAGGGTGGGAAGGAAGGAACAGGAACCTGAGGCATGTTGAAAGAGGAAAGGTGAACAATTTGACTTTGCTGGATTCACAAGGGAGCGATGTCAGCTGAGAGGAATGTACTTTTCAATGCTGGGTTACCTGAGGCCAAGAGGCTGTGTGCAAGAGGCAGGTCCTGGTAACCCCATCTTTGGGAGCCAGTTAACAAGCCCCCAGGCACAGCTAGACGTAGAAGCTTCAGACTCCTTGCTCCTCAGGGATGAGAGGGTAGTGACTGAAAACTTTGTGCAGAGATAGCTTCAGAATTTCCACATGAAGGAACTAAAAAGAAAGGGGGCTTGACTTAGAGCATCAGGTGTGTACCAAGACCAGTGTTTTAGCTTAAATTGTATGTTTATTCGGAGACACCTTCACTCTGTTGTGTGGCTGCTGCCTCTCTGTCCGGCACTCCCTACCTTCTCAGTTCACTTCCCACCATCCCCACACAGGAGTTCTCTGTCCCACCTAGAGTCCACACTGGACAATTTACTACTTAATTCAGCCCCTCTTCCTTCTCACTAGTTCATAAATTCTCCGTACTTCCTTCTAAAATCTGCTCTGAGCCTTTAGCACCCAGCTGGGCACACAGTAGGTACTCAGTAAGTGCTTGCTTAGGTAGATTGTTCATTCAATTTGTACCAGCTCCCACCTGGGTCAGAAGCTATGGTGAGGGTGTGGAGAAGAACCCACCTTCCTTTCACTCACCTCCCATTAGCCTCCTATTCAGCTTGATTTCATTCAACTACAGCAAGGCTCTGCTCTTGAGGAGTTTATGCACAATGAGCAAACACAAGGATCAGAGAGCTAGATTTTCTATGCACTGCCTAAGATGGATGGAATGGGGTGGGGTAGGGGTATTTTGTGGCTGGGCTCCTTCAGGGAAAAGAGGATCAAGTCCTAGGCTTTGAATAATGCCCTAGAGTTTGGGGCTTGCCCTAGGCCTATTTCATGGGGAAGGGTAGAGGAGTGGAGGGAATGAAGAGACAGGTAGGGTCCTCAGGGAGGTCTCCTGGACCTCACCACACCCCCACCCTGTCACTTTCAGGCTACTGCAGTGCCATGGGTTAGGTTGACCACAACATCTCAATTGGCATTGCCTTTTTAAATTTCAACTCTGGTCATGTTACTCTCCTGCTCAAAAACCATCAATGGTTCCCCATTGCCTAGAGAATAAGTCTGAATTTAGAGCATGGCCTTTGAGGGTCACAACTATTGGGCCTTAATGTATCTTTCCTTTGTTCCTTCACAAAGCCCCCCTTCTCTCTGCCCAGCTTCCACCACCCACTGTGTCCTACTCTCCACCCCCACCACATTCTCTTCCATACAACTCACTATGCTGACATCAGATTCCTTGCATACATGCGCATATCCTGCTTTCTGACCCCCCTAGTCTTGCTCATGCTGTTCCTTCCTCCTATCCTGCCTTTTTCATTTCTCATTAGCTACTGAAATCTTATCCATCTTCCAAGTCCCAATGCAGATGCCATCTCCTCCATGAAGTCTTTTCAGCCACTCTTTACCTTCCTAGCGAACATCCATTTTTCATCTTCTGTGCTCTCTAGTCAGTTATTAGCTCTGTAAACCACAGACGTTTACAAATGTGAGGGATTTATATTGACCCTAGGATACCCGGTTACCACAGGAGACTCGTGCCTCAGCCTCTGAGGGATTGGAAGCATTTGGCTCCCACATGGACTGTCAGCAACTTCAAGCATGGGATTTTCCCTTGTAGTATGTATACTGTATGTATTCACTAGATGTATAAGCTAAATTGAGGAGTGTGGGTGCCGAATTTGTGTTCTTGGCAGTGAAGTAAATGGCAGGGGCAGGGAAATACGTGAGCTGGTGGGATCCAAGCTAAGGCTCCATCCCCCCCACTGGAGGGCCTGGCAAGCAGAGGAGAACAGAATGGAGGACATCCTCTACCTAGCACAGGAAGAGGTCCCACAATACCAAGGGCAAGGTTTCATCCCTGTGCTTGGGCCCAGTCGGCTCTGTGTTCAGATCTCACCCTAAGTTTCATAAAAGCACTTTAATCTGTGGGCCAGAAAAGCCGGTTATAAGGCCCCAGGCAATAGCTCAGGCAGGAAACTCCTACTATACCCAGCTGGGAGCAAGCAAAGCCACTCGCCTGGCCCCCTAGTGAGCCAGCTACCAAGTCGGAGATAGGGATCAGCTAGCTGGGTGGGACGAGAGCATCTTCTAAGCTATCCTGAGACCAGGCATTGGCTGGCCACACCCTCCCTCCACCTGGCCTCCCAGGAGGGAGGGCTAGGGGCACTTGCCCTTGACCAACTCTCCTTACCAAAGATTTGGGCATTATTTTCTTTCTTCACCTTCTAATCTTGGGAGTTCTGGCCATGGTCTCTGCCTCCCATGAGATTCCTGCCCGCATCTCCTAGGGCTCTGAGCCATGGGACCATGTGGAGTTAAAAGGGTGGGCACCACCCCCCAGAGGGACATCTCTGAGCCAGGACCTTGATAAAATGAAGGGTGTGGGCTTATTCTAAAGTTGTGAGGGTCCAGCACTCTTTTCTTGCCACCCCCTGTTCCCATAGATAGCTTAGACATTCTGAGCTTCTAGGGGCAACAGATCATTGACCCAAGGGCCAAAGCCCCTGCTGGTCCCTGCATTTCCAAGATCTGAAGACCCGAGGGTTCCTCGATATTAAGAAGCCTAGGCCTGGGTTTCCTATCTGCTTACCCACCTTTACCCCTCCCTGGGCAATCCCAGCCAGTGACAAGAGGCATCCAGAGGGTGGAGCTCTGAGTCACAGTATAAATTCCCAGTCTCACCACCCAGCTGGAGAACTGCCGTGATGTTCCAGAAGCAGATACCCGCCTGGATCCCTCACTACCTGCCAGACCCATGCCAAGCGGAAGATGACAGACCCTCAGCTACCTGTGCCTTGGAGGTGAGGGAGCAGTACTGGATGAATGGGGCCAGGAGCTGAGGGCAGGAGACAGGTTCAGGGAGGCTAGGGGCATTGTGGACTCCAAAACACGGAGCACCTCCACTGGGGCAGCCCCAACTTAGCATGTGGGGATGTGTTCTGGCCCAGTTGGGGATGGGGCTCCAGGGTGGATGGCTCAGTTGTGGTTCCCCATGGGCTTGACAAGATGCCATGGAGTGGCTCAGGGCCATCGTGGGGCCAGGCCAGCAACAAGGTAGACATCGCTCATCTCTGCTAGGGGTGGGTCCACATTTGGCTTGTCCTAACAGCGAGCAGCCTTTTACCCTATGGACATCCTAAACTGCTATACTGTGTGAGTGTGTGGTGGGGTGTCTGGTGAGGATCAGTGACATTGCCAGCCTGTCACCATCAGCCAAGAAGTCTTCCACTTGGGTCTGTGGTCAGGACTTCTGGGTTTCTCCAACTCCTCTCAGCCTGGCAGGAAGACCCCAGGTTCATGGTCAGGTTGCCAGGGCTCTGGACCTGCTCTGCTTCAGCTTTTCTACCTGATCTCAGCCTTCTAACTTGCTGTAGGCATGCTGTGGCAAGGACTGCCAGCAGCAACTTATTCCTCATTCCCTCCCCCCACCTCAGCCCACGCTAAATCACCGAATGAGATGAGTGTTGCCCTGAAAGTGTCTTGTCCCTTGGGAGACGGAGATGCTGCTCAGTCTCTAAGGAGCCCAGGAGGGGAGCTCCGTGCTGCATGGTGTTGGTGCCCTGCTGCCCTGGCCAGGATAGACATGGCCTTCAGAGGTGTGCCCACATTTCCCCCACAGCCTTCGGGGACACTTTATTTAACAGCTAAATACTCCTCAGAAGCCCAGAGGTGTGAGTCTCCTGTGGTAACAGGGGTATCCTAGGAGGATCATTGTAAATCCTTCACACTGTAAACATCTGTGGTTTACAGAGCTAATAATTGACTAAAAAGCACAGAAGATGAAAAATGGATGTTAGCTGGGAAGGGAAAGATTGGATCTGAGAAGTCTTCATGGAGGAGGTGGTCAACACTTGTTCCTCCTCCCTTTTCAGTCTTACTGAGCCTCCAGGAGCCTGGGCTGGAGAGACCTCCACAGAAGGGACAGAACCTACCTCGAAGTGGGGAGTGAAGCAACTGAGAACTGTGCCTGTACCTCTCAGGTCCCGGAGGGTCCATGACTCTGAGCTGGGACTTTTTGCCCTGACCCCTCACCTAGACTGGGTGATGAAAAGGAAAACAGCCATAGTGGCTCCTCACAGGTGACCCCTGTTCTGAGATGTTGTTCACAGTAGCTGGGAAATGTTCTGGGGTCCCATAAAGTCCCCACCCCAAAGGTCTCCTTTTAGGAAGGGCCCGTACATCTTGGAAGCTATCACCAGGCTGGTGCGATCTCTGATGCAGGTGTTGCAAGGAACTGTTGGATCCACCCAGCTCTCTGGGAAGGAGGAGGTAGCATCACCAGCCTGTCCTGCCCTGAGAAGCCCTGGGGAGGGGAGTTCCCACAGGCTCCCTGGGAACTGTTTTCCCTGCTCCAGCACCCCAGACCTTGTGGGCTGGTTTGGTTAGGGTACGTTTAACCCAGAGATGAGCCTCAGACCCACCACTTCTAAAACATCGTTGTCAGATCCTCCTCCCTACCCCCACCCTCACCTGGGAGCCTGATCCTGAGTGACTATCTGTAACTAAATATTCTTCTGACTAATTTATAGTGATAGCTAAATTCTTGGAATTTAGGGAGAGTCATGAATTGAGAGCTGAAGGTTTTACTCCTGCCTCTGCTATGAACTAGTCTATGCGTGACCTGGAGCAAGCTTTTAGCTGATTTGGTTAATTCAGAGTGAAAGCCAGCCTCTAAGTGGTTGAAATGTGTCCCAGAAAACTGCTTTCCAGTTGTCTTCCTTACACAGCTGCACCTGTCGTTAAACTGTTTAAATGCACTCCTGTACTGTTTGCCAAAGAGTCCCCGCCTGGAGCTCCAGCACTCTGAGTGCTCGCTGGTCCTCACCCCAGGACCCTTTAATGAGCCCACAAACTGCAGGGTTGATGCCTGTTCCTGCCCCAGGGCTGCGGCCCAGCTGGCATGGTGTCTGATCATGTCTGTTTTTAGATATTTCAACTTTCACCTTAATACCCAACCAGGGCATCTTGCGCTAAGGTTGGATTTGTCCAAGTTTAGCATACCATAAGCTACCTCGTAAACTTGGGTTCCCTAATTTTACTGGTTTCTGGTTCCCAGTTCTCATCTGCAGAGTCACAGACATTGTACTTTATTCTTTTGCATCTTTCTGTGTACCAATTACCTCTGGGGCCATGAATGTTTGCTTATCTCTAGCACCACTTCGATTGAGCATATTATATGAGGAGCAAAATACATACATTCATTTTAAGCCAAGAAGGTTATATTTTACAGATCTGGTTCCTGGAACCATCTGGGCCCAAGACCTGAGTCACATGTTCTCGCTGTCTTTCTCTCAGCTTGGCCCTCTGGGCTCTCTCTCAAACCCACTAGTCTCTTCTTCCCTGCTGGGAGGTGTAACTGGACTTTGTAGAGGGATTTGAAATTAGGTCTCTCCTGCAAATGCCCAGGCTAGAAGACGTGATCTGAGGCTCAAGGTAGACCACAAGGATCCCTCTGATGTGCCTTGGCTGTTTAAAAAAGGGAGAGATCATGGAAAGTGTCCGTAAAATACTGTAACTGGAAAGATGACCAGAGTTTGGGGGTTATTTGGGGACTTTGGGGAAATTCAGGGTAAAAAGAAGAATCTGTCGGGAAAATAGATTCTAAGAGGCAAAAGACCAATGAAGAAGAGATGGGATCAAGTAGCACCCATCTTCATGTTTGTCGAGGGCCACTTTCGAGTGAGGTGACAGTGTTGGTGTGGTTATGAACATGTGCTTAAGAATTAGAATTAGATTCAAATTTGAGTTCCTCTGATTCTAGTGGAGTGCCTGAAGTCAAAGGACTTAGGCTCAGATTCTCTATCTGTAAAGTGAGGCTAATAATAACTGCTTTGTGGGGTGTTGTAAGGTTTGAGCAAGATATAATGTGGAGGTTATATACAACACTTAGCATATGGCAAACACTCAGCACACAGTAGCTGGTGTGGTTATTGTTACTGAGTTAGAGTAGAAAGAAATGGTCCACCTTATTGGAAGATATTAGGGTTAGATGACAGCAGAGAGCATTTTCTAGAAGGCAGGGAGACCTCAAGTGAGGTCCTATGGGAAGCTGTGAAGGCTCATTCCCTTCCAGTAAAGACACAAGAGAGCTGGCAGGGTCAAGGGCAACCCCTCCTGGAGGCAGGAGGAGGGCCATGATGGCCAAGAGGAACATGGCCCTGGGTTCGGAACACTTTAACACTACAAAATGTCCCTGAGGGCTGGCCCCTGCCTAGCTGAGGCCTTGGGCGGCTCCCAACTTGGAGCCCTCTAGTTGGCCTCTGAGAAAGTGGGCCAGTGGGAACAGGCTTCACCAGAACTGCTCTCCTGGGTGAAAGCCGACTCCTCCTTCCTCACAAGATCAGCCCAGGACACCACTCTGCTTAGGTAGGGGCTGAGAAGTGAGGAGCCTACTGGGCCCAGAGGGAGTCTGGCCAAAGATCACAGCCATATTTCCAGAACCAGAAGAGGAGTATGTGGCCTTTGGTCCAAGTTACAAAGCTCAAAAAAGAATCTTGTTAGAGTAAGTTATTGGCCATGAAGATATTCAATATTTCAAAGTTAATTTCATAAAAGAAATCCTTAGACTACATAAGACTGTCAGTTTGGCTTTTGAGGCAGTTATTGGGGAGAGAGGAAGAAGAAAAATTGACTTAACAGATCTATCTCAGGGACTAAGTAACAGCCTTTTCAGTCATTATTCTATTGTTGCTGGTTAGAATTAAGCCCTGGAAGAGATTGGAAGGACAGACATCAAAATGATAACAGTTCTCATAACAAGTAAAGAAATCATAACTGTGTGTGGTGATGGATGTTAACTAAAGATATTGTAGTGATTGTATCATAATATATAGATAAATATATATATGTCAAATCATGTTAGACACCTAGAACTAGTATAATGTTATATGTCACTTATATCTCAATTTAAAAAAAAGATAGCATCACCTCTATTATAAAGGTCTTGTGAAGATTAGAAACCAAGAAAAATATCTGACAAACAGTAAGTGTTCAATAGATGCTAGCTATTACAAATATTATCTTTGATAATAGCCGAGGCAGATGAACTATCTGTGGACGGTCTAAATTGAAAATAAAAATAATTATAATATTGAAAAAAATGATAATAGTGACCATCCGAGTGATAGGATTATGGGAACTCTTTTTTCTTCATACCTTTATGGTTTTCCCCAAGCCCCAAGATTATTTTAAATAGAGAAAAACTGCATCCTCTTAAAAAGATATAAAGTGATTTTAGTAACACGGAGTAGACAGTATGGAGTGTAAAGGTTCTAGTTTGGAGGCCTCTATAAATATAGTCACAACCTGATGGGTTAGAGGAGCCCTACCGTGGGCCTGAGCCAGAGTGGACTGGAAAAAGACAGTCATCTAAGCCTGGGTAAAACTCTCAGAGAAAAGGCTTCAAATCCTGAGATTCAAACAGGAAAACACAAACAGAACAGGCCTGAAGCTGTTCCTCTTTCAGGGTATGCTGCCTAGGAGTAAGATGAGGACAAAGCCCCTCACTTCAGTGCCTGAGGTCCCCTGGGAACCAGAGAGTCCTCCAGGGCCCGGATAAGTTAATTGACTTTAGAGAAGCCTTCTTGAATCCAGACAATGGAAGCCTGTGGCCAGCTTAAGCTGCTCTCTCCCTCATGGCCACCTGCCACCATTGCCTGAATAGTGAGTCCACTGCCTCTCAATCCACAGGAGGGGCTATCTCCATGCCACCTGCTAACAGTGAGGATCATCAGGATGAAAAATGTCCGACAGGCTGATAGGGGTGAGTATCTTCCTCTCTCTTCCCTCCTTCTCCTTTGCCTGTAGGGCCTTATAGTAGACATGGTCAGGGTGTGTGTGAATGTGTGTGAGTGTGTTCTATACTCAGGTTGTAATTCTGACTTTGGGTTTTATATCAATTTTCCAGGCCCCTCCCACTAGCTGAACCTTGGCACTACTACAGCCCTGTGTTCTGCCTGCATCCAAGAGCACTGTTCACTACACTCCTCCTCCCACAGCCCCCTCCCTAGTGTCCATTTCCAGGAGTGCCAGCTTCTCCCACACTGGGTGCTCCTTGCTTCTGCATGAGTTTATAGGGACTGTTCAGGGTAAAGGAGAAGGAGAGGCCTTTAGGCATCATGGAGCTACCTGCCAGCCTACTGTCAGTATTCCTTCTTAGAATATAGATCCCATATTCAGTTCTAGGGTCCAGGTCAGAAACCCCATAGCACCCAGTTCTTCAGTTCAGCCCCATGATGTGGTTTGACTCACCGAGACTGTTTGTGCAGTGTTTTCTTGCAGCCTCAGCTTTACCTTTATCCCAGCCCCTGCGGC